AAATCAATCGATCGATCGAAAACACCGATCCCGATACCGATCTCCGCTATCAATATCCATACAGACGCACGATCAGTGCGCGCGTCTCCAATGTTAATCTCCAATTTCCGGAGGCGACGTAGTCGTGCTGCCACGCATTAAAAAACCGGCAGCATGAAAATGTCCCCGGCGGCTTGTCGTGTACATAACATCAGTGGCTCTTGTCTGACGGACATTGGAAGCGATTAACCTAGTCGTGATACACATTTGCAGTGCCATGTATATGTTCATGTGCATGAATTTGTTGCTGTAGTCAGGGTCCATTTGCTGACAGTGCGATCTAGTTCTCTTCTTTCCAAGAATGTTGCCCCCCTTGTCTGACCTCTTATCCGTTGGTCATCTCTGCTATTTTAATTTACGTTGCATCATTATCATTTTTCTTTTCCCATGGAGTAAATGTATAAACAAAAATTTTCAAAAGCATGCTTTTCCATGTATGTTACAAAGGTGAAAGGACATATATACTCAGTTGTTACATAAGATACATAAAGTACACAATGGCACCCTGTGGTGCGTAAATTTTCATATTATTCATTGCGATATTTTATAATTGTTAACTTGCAGAAAGCGATTGAAAATTTTTTACAAATCCAGAAATGTACTGTAATGTTTTTATCATTGCCATTCTAAAAGAGTTCAATTGAAAGCAGGTGGATGCACTGCCAAACTGTATCTTATACCTAAACGCTCAAGCTTCGATTTTTGCATCCCTCGTTATTATTATCGTCGTAAAAAGAAGACGCATAACAGTGTAAGGATAAAACACTCATAAAACTCAAAGAGAGACACGGTGCGCACGGAATCGAAAGGGGCGCAAAGTAAACAATTTTATTTAGTCACTCTGAAAATCTGCACAATAACCCAACACAATGAAAATCACTGCAGTGTTATTTTCCTCGATGTTAACATGGATCCCACAATCAATAACAAGAGCTTGGAGCTCGAGTTCGCGCAAGTAAAGTACAAGCAGCAAGTATACATACAGAACTCCCCGGGGAGGCAACAGCCACTCGTTCCAATCTATTATCTTTTCCCCACCACGGATCGAAACGGAAACAAAGAAACAAGAAACACCTCGTCCAACGACGATGACAACAAACCTGCAGGTCTCCCTTTTCGGAATTTGCGCTTCCAACCAATCGCTTTTCCAGTTCTCTTCCGCGAAAAATCATCGGAGGCAGGTGAACCGAACGAAACGATCGAGGATGTGAGCACTCGAATTACCCCTCGGCTGCGGCATCGGTGGCATCAGGAAAAACGGTAATACGTACCTACACGTTATATATACACTCTCTTTTTCTCTCCAAGAGAGATGCGACTCCGCGATGTACGTATACCAGCAGCTACAAGTAACGGATGGCCTACCTGTTACCCGTACACTTGCAGCTCACCTATTTCTTAGCTAAAAAAAAAAGATAAAATAAAATACAGGAGCTCCACTCTCTGATGCATACGAGGCTAACGCTTATATGCTAATCTTTGTCCCCTTCTCTCGCAACGTGATCTTCCTCCGATTACAATGTCGTTTATCTCCTCTGCCCCTGTGCTTTCTAATTCGTTAATTAGACGTGTGGCTATGTATTTTTTTTTTTTTTTTTTTTTTTTTTTTTTTTCATGTATTAAGACGTTAGTTATCTCGCACGTAATACTTTTAATCGGTGATAGAAGAACTCGCCGTTTAATTGTTAATCAGCCGTTAAGTGGTAAAAGGCTCTTCTTTTCATTATCGAGTGCTGGCGGTCTCAGACGATCTTATACATTTTGCGATCGTCGTACGACTGATTTGCTCTGATAACAAAAAAAAAAAATCGTATCAGTACGTCATTCACGTGAAATCGGTGTACAAGTTACTTTTTTCCTTGTATCGGTTTTGCCACGTACCTGCACTTACACTCTGACAAAACGCGAGTGCCACTTTTTTTGCCCGCACATAAGTATCGATCGTTGCACAAACCTGCCAATGTTTTTTTTTTTTTTTTGTGCTTAAAGCGACATACATACACGGTGTAATTAAAGTCTCACGCGAATCTTACTCTCTTGAGTAACGTTACAGTCATGTTCTCCGTTCAGGACACATGCACTTACATTTGTTGTTGTAACAGTGCCCGTGTGCTGTTTTCTTTTACCGTCTCAACTTAATTTTTCTACTCTGGCATTTCTTTATTTTCTGCAAGTCTATACCTGCTGATATTCTCCTTTTTTTTCTACTCATAGCAAATTGGTGTATGTTAAAACTTTGGTTTTCCACGATTCGCTGACCATGTGAGCTTAATTTCTTTTTTTTTTTTCTTCTATTCAAAGAAATCCATACAGCAAACATCCATCCATGTTTCAAAGCATACCATGCTTACAATTTTTAATTTTTATGAAAATACGTGACCAATCGATTTATCATCAACCGTGCAGCTCATCTTCATGAGAACAGGGACTTGCATTTTATGAATTTTGTACATAAATTGTTGAAGAAAAACAGTTCAGCACATCTTGTGAAACATTGTATGATAACTGCAATAAAAATCGTTTAAAAAATAGCGAATGCAAGCTTATGCTTTAAACGTGTTATTAAAACACTAAGATTTACGGAAAATTACAGTTGGTAAAGAAAAAAAAGGTCCACAGGATTGCCATTGGTTCTGAAAAACCACTCGCAGAATCAAAGAAAAAGCGCACAGGTAAGGGATTTTTAAAAGGTACCTCCGATCCCACGCGGGGCGGCCGTTTGCTCTCGTGACCATCAGAGAGAAGAGGGCTCCCCGACATCGTGAGGCTAACGGTTTACCTCAGGGACTCCTTTCGAACCCATATCTGTCCACTGTACACAGCGTCCATGCAGTGGCTTCGCTTGACTATACTTCGAAAAGATCAAAACACTTTGAGGGTACCTGCTTACTCGGCGCGAAGCGGGACTTCGACTCGAGTTGGAAGTTGGAATCGATACTCGTGACTGAGTGTAATGAGGGGGATAAAACAGGGGAAACTTTGCAGCAAGCGATTTCGCGAGGCGATGATATATGATGAAGTGTCGATTTGACTTATACTATTGGTTGCGAAATTTTAAGATGTTATGGAAATACTTTTTAGCAGAAATCCAATAACGTACCTGTCTTCTAAAATTTTATCGATCTCGGAAATTGCGACATGCAACTACTGTCTTTATTTGAGTAATTATTACTATTTTCGTATCCTTCGTGGAAAAAATTTGTATTGCAGACTGCAGTGAAGATACGTTTGCGGTATATGAAGTTATAGTAATGTCTTTGGCTCACAATGTTTCTCAATACTGTATTATATATATTTCGATATTATCACCATTGGGCAAGAAATGTTAAAATTATTGCTGACTATTATGATTTCCGATACTAAATAGAACATCTTGTATAGTTAGAAATATTTGTTGAAAAAAAAAAACTATTCTAAGACATATTCATTGCTTTCAAACTATGATTATTTTATAAATTATAATAGTACTTTATTCGTGTCACAAAACTACTGAACGAATCGATAGTGATGATGATAAGGTTCAAAAAATCAGGTTTATCGAGTCAAAAATAAAAATAATTAATCAGAAATTAATATTTGAGTTCGTAAATATATTAATTTATTGATATATATATATTTTATAGAAAATAGTCATTGTGGTGAAGATTAATATATAGGCGTATTTTTGTAGCAATGATAATTATATTTATAATTGTTCTTCGTGTTTTGTCAACATACTAGAATAGACTTAAAACTATCATAGGGTTTCTAAAGGCTATTAAATTTTTATCGTTTATAAACGATAGGTTAATGATCAACGACAGTAATTTTATTAGTTAATTAAACTATGTTTATTTTTTCAACAAGTAAATCAAAATTATTTTGTCGTCAAACATTTTTGTATCCATTTTCGTACCATAATTAACAAAATTTATTATTTACCAACAATCACCAGTTGAAAAAAAAAAATTAAACTGTTGTTAGGCATTATGGTTTTAAACACTCCACTGATCATCGTAATATGTGCTACTCAACTCATAATGGTATTTTTAAATGTATCCTTATGCTTGCATGAATCATGGATCCGAGCAGTTTGTCACCGAGTGCTTCTGAGATGAATATAAATGAGTTCTTCTTTTTTTTTTACATTGGCTAAGGAATTTGCTATTCGGTACTGCGTAAGAATTACTGAGTACTTGTTACTTTTTCATTATACATTACCTTAAAGTTAGATCTTTAGCAAAATATTTGCAAAAAAATAATTACACAAGTTCATAAAATAATAATAAAAATATTACTCTAAAAATACTTCAGCATATGAAAATGTACCACAATATTCTGTAATTAATACCACTATGTATACACCACTGTCTGTTCAGTACAATATATCCATTTATGTCTGTGGACAAAGTACTGAAATATTCATGAATTACTGGGCTCCGCGTCCGAATAAAATTATGTAAATTATAAATAGATGTTTTCTGCACTACTCAATCAAATCAGTTTATAACTGAAAAAAAAATTTTTTTTATTGGGTTTGTCATGCAAAAAAATTAAGAAATGACGAAATACTGAACAAATTATTAAGTACAACACAATTAAAATACATTTTTAATTAACATTTAGTTACAACCTTGAAAATTTATTTTAATAATACATGAGAGACATTTATCAATTTTAAAAGTTCAAAATTAGTCGAAAACTGGTGGAATCATCCCAAGTCCAGCTGATTCCTATTTAGGTACAAGGTCGAATTTTTGTTTATTTTGGGCTTAATTTGATGCATCTGCGTTGTTCATTGATTCTCAAATCGACCACAAATGATGTCCTTCGATATTTATTCATGCTATCAAACATAATTCGCTGCAGTAACGAAATCGTCCTCTAAAATACATGCATAAACGAAAGAAAAAATGATGAAACAATTTACCGAACCACAAACCATAAACTTGAGACCAATGATCTCTTCTCTTCCTCTACAGACCCCTCGCTCTACGAGTACCATGCAAGCGACGTGTCCTTGTTGGACCAGGAGCTCGTCTTCCACCTCGAATCGAGTCCCCGGAGCTTTCGCACGCTGGACCGCCGGCGACGCATGGCCGTGCAGCCGCAAGCCGACATGGAATCTCCAACGAAACCCCAAACGCCGCACCAAGACCCGTTGATTTCGACCAAGACCAACGCGAGCGTTAAGGTGTCGTACTCGACGACCGAGAAAAACGCCACCGTGGCCACGTCCACGGTGAAATCGGCAATGCTGCCGAGCAGCGTGGGACCTTCCACGACCCCCAACAACGATAAAGGCAAGGGTGTCATCGTTTCGACGCCGATTGTGCCGCCGATCGATAAGAATGCCACGAAGACGGCCAATGCAAGCGCCGCTGTGGGTGCGGCAGTCGCTGGGGATAAAGTGGAAAAACCGGTGAGTTGTTTTTCTGGCTTTTTTTTATTTATAACAAGTTGGTTAAGTCCAGGGAATGGCCGTTTTTCGAATGAAATTTTTACTCGGGTCAATTTGCATTTATAAGTAATTATTGTAAGGATTCGAGACTTGTAAGGATCACCAGTAGGCAAACGATTCCAAGCTATACTAGCACTTCAAAATTTTAATAAAAATTCCAAAAAATTGATTCAAGTATTAAATATTTATAGATTTTAAAATATTCAGAGGTATTTAGATTATTGCAATGAGTTTAGAAAATGTTTGTGACTTCAATGACTGTAAAATCAGTACTACTTTCAAATTAATTAGTAATACATTTAATCGCTTTCAAATTATTCAATGATTTCCAAAGTCTTGATGATCCTCTCAAATAACTTTGGGTAGCTGACTTGAAAAGTCTTTAAGTTTTTTTTTTTCTACTGTTTTTCGAAGAGCACTGCCATTTCAAACATCAAATTGTAAATCCAACAGGTGGTAAACGTCTGGGCGAACCAAACGCTGTGGCCGAACGCGACGAAGCAAAAGGTCCCATCGGAGCAGGGAGTAACCGAGCTGGATGACTTTATCGGCAAGTACCCCACCGACGTGACGAACAAGACCCTCCACGACAACAACGTCACGAAAACCGAGACCGATACTCACCAGTACTACAACAGCACCTTCAGTACCGACGAAGCGTTCGGAAGGAGGTACTGGGTCGACCTCGACAGCCATCCCGATCTCCAGATCAACACCCTGCTGAGCAAAAGCCATCGTTGGGCTGCTGTAAGTCGTTCGCTCTTTTTCTTTTTCTTCACATTATTATCTACATATTGTGCGCGCTATCGTAATTAAATCTCTTTCTCCGTGGAATTGGAGTTTGGACCCATGGATGGAGAGGAAAGAGGCTTATCATGGCCGTCTCGTAAATTATTCAATGATTGTATACGGTATAATGATCGAGACATTTGAGCGGGTTACGTCGCGATTTTAATGTCCAATTTGATTATCCGACTGATGCTTTGTGTAAAGATAATGAATAATATAATCATGTAGAATATACATCTACATTGTTTCGAGATGAATAATAAATACTTCGTAGCCGAATCTTAATTCCGATAAAACAGTTGGCTGTAAAAATATTTCGATACTTTTAAAGAAACGATCATTAATTTTCTTTTTTTTTTTTTTAAGAAAATGCATTGTTGAATATATTTTCAAACTAACGAGGGCAAAGTAAGCAAAAAGCTAAAGATACCTTTTTTCTCTGTCAAACCCATCAGACGATCAAACTGAAGTTCGACTTTCCGTTTTACGGGCACAAAGTGCGCAACATAACTATCGCGACGGGCGGCTTCCTCTACACCGGCGAGTACGTTCACAGCTGGCTGGCAGCCACTCAATACATCGCCCCGCTTATGGCCAATTTCGACACCACGCTCTCGCCAAAGAGTTACGTCAAGTACGGTGACAACGGTGAGTACCGCTCTCGTGAGATTTTATGAAAGGGTATTGGATTTCTTTTTTTTT